CCTAGTCCTGCAACATTCTCACAATCGTTGTTATGCTTGAGCCCATCATTGCAGCCACTGTGTCAATCCATCTTGTTGAGGGTCTTCCTCTTTTTTGCTGACCTCTGCTTTACCAAGCATGATGTTCTTCTCCAGGGACTGATCCCTCCTGATAACATGTCCAAAGTATGCGAGATGAAGTCTCGTCATCCTTGCTTCTAAGGAGAATTCTGGCTGTACTTCCTCCAATACAGATTTGTTCGTTCTTTTGGCAGTCCACGGTATACTCAATATTCTTCACCAACACCATAATTCAAAGGCATCGATTCTTCTTCAGTCTTCCTTATTCATTGTCCAGCTTTCACATGCATGTGAGGCAACTGAAAACACCATGGCTTGAGTCAGGTGCACCTTAGTCTTCAAGGTGACACCTTTGCTTTTTACCACTTTAAAGAGTTCTTTTGCAGCAGATTTGCCCAATGCAATGCGTCTTTTGATTTCTTGACTGCTGCTTCCATGGGTGTTGATTGTGGATCCAAGTAAAATGAAATCCTTGACAACTTCAATCTTTTCTCTGTTTATCATGATGTTGCTTATTGGTCCAGTTGTGAAGATTTTTGTTTTCTTTATGTTGAGGTGTAATCCTGCAGTGGATCGATTACTTTTGTATGCTGCCTTTCTAGCCATGGCCTTGTAACTTCCACCCAGGTGACTGTGGGATAGGGTAATTGTGACCTACCAAGGGGATTGGTTAGCTTTGCCTTAAGAGAGCCTATTTCAGAGCAAAAAAGGAGAGCCCACAACCACCAAAGAAGGAGAGACCTGCAGCAGAGAATGGCAGCAAAGACCCAGAGGAGATGGCACAGTGGGCTTCCCAGTCCATGAAGTGAGAAAGCTGAGTGCCTTTGGGCAGAAACTGAGGGCCAGGGAGAAGTCTATGCCTGACCCACGAATTTGGGACTTGCTAGCCTCAACAGCATGAGCCATTTCCTACATGTGGTTCGTGAATTCTGTGAGATGTGGCAGCGATTTAGGGAACCCAAAGACAGGAGGGAGAGTACTGAGGCAAGAGGGAGTAGTTGATGTTAGAGATGATGGAGTGGTACAGCAGCTTGGAAAAGTTAAGACGTTTGAGACATCTTTAGTCTCTGCCTCATAGGAACCAGCTTTGTGCTGATCCTTATAAAAGAAATTATTCGTTTAAATCCATACTGAAGGCTATAGTCTTTGATCTTCATCAGTAAGTGCTTCAAGTCCTCTTCACTTGCAGCAAGCAAGGTTGTGTCATCTGCATAACGCAGGCTGTTAATGAGTCTTTCTCCAATCCTGATGCCCCATTCTTCATATAGTCCAGCTTCTCAGATTATTTGCTCAGCATACAGATTGAATAGGTATAATGAAAGGATACAACCCTGACGCACAGCTTTCTTGATTTTAAACCATGCAGTATCCCCTTGTTCTGTTCCAAAGACTGCCTCTTGGTCTAAGTACAGGTTCCTCATGAGCACAATTAAGTGTTCTGGAATTCCCATTCTTTGCAATGTTATCCATAGTTTGTTATGATCCACACAGCGGAATGCCTTTGCATAGTCAATAAAACACAGGTAACAATCTTTCTGGTATTCTCCACTTTCAGCTAGGATCCATCTGACATCAGCAATGATATCTCCCGTTCCATGATATCTATCTGTAAATAGATAGGTAGACATAGACTTATATGAAGTAAATGGCTCACACGGTTGTAGAAGGCTAGAAAGTCCTAAGTCTGTGGGTCAGGCATCAGGCTGTAGGCTTCTCCTGATTCATGTAGTTGCAGGGGCTGATGAATCCAAGATCGGCAGGTCAGACAGCAGGCTGCTGGCTCACAGGCTGCACAGGCTGATGAATCCAAGATCAGCAGGTAAGATAGCAGGCTGCTTGCTCAACTCCCGAGAACTGGAGTTCAGATGATGATGAGCCGAATGCAGGATCCAGAGCAGAGGAAAAGTCAGTGAGCTTTGCCAGAACGTCCACATATATTGGATGCAGGCCATATCCCCCAAGGAAACTCTTTCAACTGATTGGCTGCTCATAACAAATCTCATCATGGAAGAAGTTACATTTTATCAAATCTCATCACAGAGGTGATTAAATTGTTACATAACTGCCAAACCACTGAGAATCACCACCCAGCCAAGTTGACACACATCCTTAACCATCACAGTATTTAAATGGCCATCAAACACATGAAAAAATGCTCAGCATCATTAGACATCAGAGAGATGCCAATCAAAACCACAATGAGATACCATTTCACTCACACTAGGATGGCTAAGATAAAACAAGAAAACAAAAACAGAAAATAACAAACGTTGGAGAGGATGTGGGGGAGATTGGAACCCTTATCCACTGCTGGTGGGAACACAAAATGGTACAGCCATTGTGGAAAACAGTGTGGCAGTTTTTCAAAAAATGAAAAACTGAACTACCATACGATACAGCAATTCCACTCTTGGGTATACAGTTGGCCTGTATCTGTGGGTTTCACATCCACGGATTTAACCAACTGTGGATCAAACATATTCGTAAAAAAAAGAATGTACCAAAAAGCAAAATTTGAATTTGCCATGCACCAAGCACTATGCTGCATCCACGCAAATGACATGATGTGTAGGCATACTCTCCATTTCACAGATCTTGTCTTTCTCCAGCACTCAATGTCTGAGCATTGTTCGCCTAGTGTTTCATTTGTTAGCTACTTGCATTCTGTATGTCCTTTGTTTCTCTGAAAAAATGGCTCCTAAAAAGCAATTAAGTGGTTGAAGCAATCCCTCAAAGGCTAAGAGGAAGTGTAAAGTATTATCTCTTGAAGAGAAAATAAAAATCTTAGATCTTTTGAAAGGTGGCATGTTGCTCACCAAAGTGGACTGTAAGGTTGGTAAGAATGAATCAAGCTTTTGCACAATAAGCAGAAAGAAGATGAGATTTGTGGAACTGTTAGTGCTGCCCCAACAACAGCAAAAATGGTCTCTCTGATTCGTGATAAAGAAAGTGCTTATAAAGACTGAGAAAGCTTAAATGTTAAGCACAAGCATTAACAATTACATAGAATTTACATCGTATTAGGTATTATAAGGGATCCATAAGTAATCAAGAGATAATTTAAAGTATAATGGAGGATGTACATAAGTTATATGCAAATGCTATGTCATTTTATATAAGGGACTTGAGCATCCATGGATTTTTGTATTCACAGGGGTCTTGGAACCAATTCCTAGCAGATACTAAAGGATGACTGTATACCTAAAAAACTTGAAAGCAGAGAGTCAAAAAGAGACTTGTAGACCAATGTTCATTGCATCACTATTCACCATAGACAAAAAAAAAAAAAAGGTAAAGATAAAAGATAAACACAATGTGGTACATACATACAATGGAGTACTACTCAGCCAGTAGAAGAAATGAAGTCTTCACAGGTGGATGGAGCTTGAAAACATTACGCTAGTGAAATAAGCCAATTACAAAAGGACAAATATTATATGACCTCACTTATATAAAAAGACAAGAAAAAGCAAATGTAGAGAACAAAGTTTATTAGTGGTTACCAGGGTGGGAGGGAGGGGGTAAAGGGGAGTTAGTGGTGATGGAAAAATTGCATTGATTAAGGGTAGGGTTGCACAGCCGATTATTGTAATTGCTGTCAGTAAGATGTACACCTGTAAAAAGTTGAACTGGCAAAAGCTGTGTGACAGATATATTTACAACGACAACAGAAAGAAAAAAAAGAGTAGCTGCTGGGGCTGCTATGTACAACCAAACACCTCACGGGATTTGTTTTGGTTTGGAGGTTTAGAGTCATGGTTTCACAGAACATGCCAGTTAATTGGCCTAATAACCTCCTACTTCATTGTACAGTGCCTGGGGTCTTAAAAGCTTGCAAATGGCCATCCAAGGCACAACAATTGGTCTCTATTCACCTGGAGTAACAGAGGAAGGAGAGTCAGGAACAGGAGGATGATATGGAAATTGCAGCTAACTGCCTCCATGAACAACTGCCTCCTTTGTCCTGAGACCAGAAGAACTGGATGGTGCCCAGCTACTGTAACTGAACATTTTGATCAAAGATTCCATAGAAGAATCCTGATCAAAAGGGGGAAAATTAAGAACAGAACTTCAAATTCTCATAGACTCCAGACTTCCTAGAGCCACGAAAGTTGGATGAACCTCTGAAACTACTGCCGAGATAATCTTTAAACCTTAAACCAAAAATATCCCCTGAAGTTATCTTAAAACCGAACAACAGTTTAGCTTAACTAGTAACAAGAGTTTGCCTTGTGCATTATTCTCTTTTAAGAACTATCTATAGGTGATCAAATTGACAACAGCAACTTGAAAGATTAAACAGGAACCTTAGGGGGCAGTGAGTTTTTGTTATGAGGGAGGAACAACTGAGAAAATGAGGTGAGAATGGTTGCACAACTGGAAGAATGTTATCAAAGTCACTAAAAGTACCTGTAGAAATTGTTGAATTGGTTATGTTTTGCTGTGTATATTCTGAACAACAAAAAAGTAAATAAAATTTAGCAAAAAATAAAATAAAAAAGATTACAGCCAAGAAAGCTCTATGGGGCAGTTCTACTCTGTTACATGGGATTGTCATGAGTCGGGGCCATCTCCATGGCAGTTAACAACATCTCTACCTGGAGCGACACTGTTCATTTATTTGTTTGTACTGTCTAGGCCCCTCCCCCAGTGAAATTTAACCTCCATGATAGCTGGAGTCCCAATTCAATTTGTTCCCCACCTCCCCCGCCCCCCTGCCTAGGAGGGGCCGGACACGCAATACACAGATGCTGAATGAATGAATGGAAAGAAAGCGGAGACAAGGGAATGGGGGAGTTTGTCCCCCGGCGGCTTCTGTAACACGCTTTCATTTCCCCCAAAACCAAGTCCCCGAGGCCCGCGCCACAGCTGCCAGCCCTACCCCGCGGAGTCCACGTTCCGCTCCGCGCGCAAGGGTCCTGGCGGCCGTCGCTCCTCACCCAGTCTATGCGTCCACGTGGGGAACGAGTTGCGCTCACGGCTGTCACAGCAGCGTATGGTCCCTACCGGCCGCCGTACCGGCGCAAGTGCACTGGCTCGACGTGGGATCCCCTCTTCAGCCCCACGCACAACTCCCGGGTTGATCAAGGGCGACCGCGAGAGCAGGCAAAGCCAAGAAGACTGCCCGGTGCGCAGCGTCCGTGTCTCCGCCGCCTTTTCCAGTCCGGTAGGTGTGGCCACTGCCCCCCGGCTGGAAAATTTTTCGCCTCGGGAGCTTCCGCCTCAAAGAAGGAGGCAGCGCGCCTGCGCGAGAGGGACTGGCGGCGGCTTGCGCGTGCGCGGAAGACGGTGGATTGCGTGTGCGCAGAAGGGGGCTGGCGGCGGATTGCGCCTGCGTGGTAGGGTAGACGGGGGTTTGCGCCTGCGCTTTGGAGGCTGGCGGTGGCTTGCGCCTGCGCGGCTTGACGCTGCGGAGACCGTTGGCTCATTTGCATGTCCCCGCCTCGCGGTGGCGGCAGCGGCGGCGGGTGAGGATTCTGAGGCGGCTGCAGAGAGCTTGGTTGCGCACGCGGTGGGCTCGGGGTGAGGCCTGGGACGGCGTTGTGGGAGGATGGACACGGGGCGGGCGGCTCAGCCCCTGAGTCTGGTGCTCACGATGGCGCCGCGGACTCGGCCTTTGAACTGGGGGCGGCAGCCGCGTCCGGGCGGGGCGGCCGCGGCCTCCCGGGGCGGGCGCTCTCTGTGTTGGCCCTCGGAGGCCAGGCGCAGCGGGCCGCGCGCGGAGTGCTTTGTTCGCTCCCTGGTTCATTCATTTTATCCGGGACTCAGGCGGTCGTCGACGATTGGGGGACGCTGGTAATGGCGGCTGGGCGCCTATTTCACGGATGGGGAAACCGAGGCACGGGAAGGTCAGATCTTTTGCTAGGGGAATGGCAGAGCCAGGATTTGAATCCGGGCCGACCACCCCAGAGATCCTGCCTTTGGCCAGCAGGGAACACGGGGTGACCCAGAGGAAGAGGGGTGATGGTTATGAGAAATGGTGATGAGGCACGCAGCATTTTGGGGTTGGAGTTTAATGAGGTGGCATCTCTCGGGAGTTAAGGAGCAGCCACTGGGCTTCTGAGGGTTGCTTCTTCGTCTCCTGGGCACTGTCCTCACTGCCTGGGCCCTGTTTGCCTGGTTCACGTCATGGGTGTCTGACTGTGGGTGGGTATCTTACAGAATAGAACAAACAAACCCGTTGCCTTTGAGTCGATCCTGACTCACGGAGACCCTACAAGTTAGAGTAGAACTCAGCTCCCTAGGGTTTTCTAGGCTGTGATATTTTTGGAAGGAATTCTGATGGTACAGTTTGTGCTCAACTGGTAGCCAAAAGTTAGGCGGTTCAGACCCATTCAGGTGCCTCAAGACGGGTTTGGTGACCTGCTTTGGAAAGGTCATAGCCGTGAAAACCCTGTGGGGCAGTTCTAGTCTGCACATATGGTTTGCCATGAATTGGAATCGATTTGATAGCAGCTAACAACAGTCTTCACAGAAGTGAGTTGCTAGGCCTTTCTTCTGTGACACCACTGGGTGGGTTTGAATTGCCAGCTTTTCAATTAGTGGTCAAGTGCTTAACCACCTGCTCCATCCAGGTCCTTTAGTCTGTGTAAAGTGACATTCATAATGGGACTTGCTTTAGTGGGTTGTTGGAAGAAGTCACAGAGGTCGTGCTTGTCCTGCTGATGACAAGGTCTGTCAGGGAATGAGCCCCCGTAAATAGTGGCTGTTGTCATTGTCACTAGTTTGGGGTTCCTCCACCCACTTGTTGAGAGGTTTGTGGGAAGTCAGCTCTCTGAGCTTCCTGGCCCATCTGTGAAACGGGAAGGTAACTATTGTGTCTTTGCCACCGTTTGCACTGAGTTATACTCCCACGCTTTCCACTGTATGCCTGGTCCTTCTCACAGAACCTTTTTTAACAGATTCTGAGGAAATGAGCCCAGAGAAGAAAATAATTTGTCCGAGATCTCCTTCTGCTCCTCCTTAGCTGGCTCACAGCTCAGGACTTACTGAAGGCAGGAGCTCCCTTAGAAGAGTCCGGCCTGCCTTCCTGAAGTACCTTGCTGGATTGTTGCCTTGTCTGTTTGAGGTCAGCATTGATAGTCATTTTTATTGCCTTTTTGTCCTTACAGGTCAGAGAAGCATGGCAGCAAGGCGGATTGTGCAGGAGAGTTTTGATACTGTGTTGCAAGAAAAAGCTAAGCGATACCATATGGATCCCAGTGCTGAGGCTGTAGGTGAAACTCTTCAGTTTAAAGCTCAAGGTAAATTGGAGTGTGTTTTGAGGGAGACATCTGGGGGCCAGGCAAGAGGATTTGGGTGCCTTGGGCAAACTATGAACCCCCCTGATGTTAGTTTTTTTGTGGGCCTACTTGTCACACCAGCATGGAGATGGGGGTATTGTCATTATCTGGAGTTTCTAGAGGGCTGAGACTGTTTCTCCACTCTCCTTCACTGGATCTCCTTCCTCCACCTCAGGATGGGTTCTTGAAGAAATCTGGCTCCATCCCCACCACAACTGCCCGACTTACAGCTCTTTCCTGGTCTTATTTCCCGTCTCATTTACCTTCCACTTAACTGCTACACAGAGCTGTTTGTGTCAGTCTCATTGGGCCAAAGCTGTGTGTGGAGTCCTGGGGCTCTCCGTTGCAGGGTTAGATCCTCAGATGAGTGCAGGAGCAGTCAGGTCATTGGTGTGTGCTTTGTATCAGCTCAAGTGGAGGGAGTAGGGGCCTGTGGAGCTGCTGAGCAGACCCTGCCTGAAAACAGTCCCTGAAAATCTTGCCACACTGTCAGCAAAATAAAACACAGTGCCCACGCGCCCCCTGGCAGGATAATACGGAAGCTTCTCACCACTGATGCGAGGCTCCCAACTCCTGTCTCCTGCCCCCTGCTTCACATTCTGGGGATGCTGTGACATCTGCGTGCCCTGCTTTGCCTCGTCAAACCCTCAGGCACAAGGCTCAGTTCGGAGGTGCCTTCCCCAAGAAGCCTCACCAGGTCTCCTAGCTGATTTGCACCCTCCCCTCCCCGGCCCTTGTGGCACAGTTGTTAGGAACTATGGCTGCTAATCAAAAGTTCGGCAGTTCAAATCCACCAGCTGCTTCTTGGAAACCATATGAGGCAGTTCTACTGTGTCCTATGGGGTCACAGTGAGTCAGAATCACTTCGATGGCAATAGGTTTGATTCCGTTCTTTGAGAGATTTATATATAATTCTAAATTTGTATGTTGATAAACACGTGTATGAAGATATAGGTCTTGGTTTGTCTTCATCTAGAGAATCAGATGCCAAAACACATCTTAGTTACCTCCAGAAAGATTTGCAACAGGAGGATGGAACTAGAAACCTAGAAGACCCTAGGTTGTTCTGGAACCATCTGTGTGTCACAAAAACTGCATGGTCGGTCAGTTGGTTGGTCTTGCTGTGTATCTCTGCTTTCTCTGAACTTCGCTGCTTTCTCATAAACTAGGGAATTTGACAAATTTTATGTAGAACCCAGCAACCACTGCTTATAAGGGTACCACCCAAACCATGCTCCAGTACTAGAAGTCAGTGCCTGGATCATCGTGGTCGTCTCCACAGGGATCTCTGCATGCACTCTTGCCCCTGCAATCTCTTCACATAGTGGCCAGGGTCATGCCTCTGTTCAGAGCCCTTCAGGGACCTTCTGTCCTACTCATAGTGAACTGCAGAGTCCATTGGGACTTCTCCTCCCACCACAGTTCCCTGACTTTGTTCCCACATGTTAGAATCATCTGGGGACCTTTATAAGTCAAAGTGCCTGGAGGGGGGACTCCAGGGGACAGTACATCTTGGGAACCTCCTGCCTACCCTTGGCTAGTCATCCCGTCTATACCAGCCACACCTGTCTCTGCTGGCCCTACCTCGGGACTTCCTGCCTGGAGGCCCCCCCAACAGCCGTGTAGCCTAGCACCCCACTCCCTGCGCCTGCCACTCATGTGTTATTGGCCGAGCACCACTCCCTGACCACCCTGCGTGGAGGTGGTGGCCCCTCTTCACCTGTCCCCCCACCCATCCTCTCTCTCACCTGCCCCTCCTCACCCAGCTCCTGTGTACTTCTCCCAGGCACTCATTCCCCCTGACATATTTCTGGGCCCCACTGAGAAGCAGCCCCAGGAGAGCAGGGCTTCACTATCTGGTCTCCCTGCTGTAACTGCATGCTGAGAGCAGCACACACGCAGTTGGTGCTCAGTAAAGACTGGTAACAAGGGTGCCTGGCTCCAGCTTCCTGAGGTCCCTCTGGTCCGGCAGGACCTCACGACATCTTTCTCCCTCTTTATTTTTCATTAGATTTTTTTTAAGTAACGGGTTCTAATATAACAGTCAATTAAAAAGACATTCAGTGATAAGTCTACTTTAGCCTTTGGTTCCCACACGCCTGTAGTTCGTGTGTACTCCTGGCTTCTTGCTCGTATCCACAAATACAATTCCTTTCTGCACAGAGGACAGGAGGATGTGCTGTTCTGTTTCCACCCTGGCCCCTCTGGATGGAGCTTCTTCAGCTTCTACCTTCCTCACTCCCTGCTGCAGCCTCATTGCTCAGCTCCAGAGAGAGGACTGATGGGCCCAGCAGACCTTTGTGAACAATGGTGTTTGCCGCCTTGGTCAGCTGCTCAGCTTCTGTCCAGTCAACAGTGGAGGGCAAGGGGTCAGCCATGGCTTGACCTTACAGCGGACGTGGTCAGGGGTGTCTCTTGGGAAGGAGTGAGGGCAGGTGGCCCCCATAGAACCTGAAACAGAAGCAGAAGTAGAGAAATATTCCAGTCAGTAAAGACATCCAGGTGATGTGGGGACCAGATCCCTTTCCCTGAGTCTGAAAAGGGTTGTCATCCCATATGCTTATAGGACAGGGCAGGGGATCTGAAGGAGTGAGGGGGCAGAGGCTGTTGCTAGGGGCAATGCAGGCCCAGTGCTTCTAGTTTTCTGCTTTCCTAAGCGGTAAATCCAGGTTTTTAAGTGAAAGGCACAGGTCTTATATGTTGGTGACAGAAGTGAATTTGTAAAAAAGCACTG